GACTGAAGTGTCTGGTAATACTATGGGAAGTCCCAAAGCTGAGATGTGTCATGTCCAATGTAACTTCACCGAATTACTTCAAAGGATGTTTTTTTTTTTAAATCTTCACCAGAATGGGCGCTGTTAATCTTTCGACTACGTCTCACAAAAAGCTGGCAGATGGATTTTAGATTTTTATAGAAAGGACGAAGCTGTTGAACAGGAAGTAAGATCATGTCTAAGCAACTGTCGCAAACTTGTTGAGGAGGAGGTTATGTTTTTGGTAGCATTTGGATGTCTTTCTGTTTGTAACCGTGATAGCTGGAAAGCTTTTGAATGAATTCTGATGAAACTTTGTAGGGGTGTAGAGCGGGGTCGTGTTAACAGTCCATTAAAATTGGTTCACATCTACCAAGGTCACTGTCATGGTCCTGAGTCTGAGGACTCTGTGTTTTGTGTTTCTTTATATTCTTCTATATTCTTGTTTATTCTGCCTTGTCTTTTGTTTAGGTTTGCTATGTGTCAGTGTGTTTGTTGCATGTCTGCCTGTGTTACTCCGTGTCAGTCTTCACTACTCTGTGTAACCCGGTGTTCATTCTGCGTCTCTCTGCCATCCTTCTCTGTGCATTTTTTCCCTCCTCCCGTGAGTGTTTGGTTTCTGGTTAGTTCTTTAGTTTTCCCCAGTTTAGGTTTGTTAACTCCCTGCTCTGCTCGTCCTGTTTTTGTCACTTCTGTAAATAAACACTCACTCGCACCCTAGCCAGTGTCTGCATTTTGGATCCTTTTCTCAATACACCACACGACTGCTCCTCAGCCGTGACAGTCTTCAAGGTCAGCTCAATGATTTATTGGTCAAAAATTGACCAATAAATCATTGAGTTACTTAGAATTTAGAAACTGTGATTCTTGCAAGTATGATGTGTGTCAACATATACAAAGTACTGTATATAGATTTAAAATATCATGTTATTTTTTAAACTCTGACCTCTTCTTAAAGGTCAAATAAGGTCTTTTATCTTTAAAACTTAAAATTCTGCTGCCTTTGTTTGTATTGGCAACATTTAGGAAATGATACTGGTGAAAAGA